AAGTGCAGTGATGGCAAGGTTTGGTATATCCCTCATCATGAGGTATACCATCCTCAAAAAAGGAAGATGCATGTTGTTTTTGATTGCAGAGCATCATTCAAAGAGGCCTCACTCAATGCACATCTCCTGCAAGGACCAGACCTCACAAGCATGTTGATTGGCGTCTTAACTAGGTTCAGGAAAGAACCTACTGTTCTCATGTCCGACATCGAGGCCATGTTTCACCAGGTTCGAGTGCCAAAGGAAGATGCAGACCTGTTACGATTTCTATGGTGGCCCAAAGGAGACTTTAGCCAGTGTATGGTGGAGTACAGGATGGTTGTCCATCTGTTTGGGGCTACATCTTCCCCAAGCTGTGCTAATTTTGCTCTCCGGAGGTGCGCCGAAGATAACAAAGAGCTCTTCAGCCAGCAGGTGTTTGAAACCATCATGCACAGTTTTTATGCTGATGACCTCCTCGCTTCTGTGGCCTCAGAACAGGAAGCTATATGCCTGTGTGAGGACCTAAGGAGGACATGTGCCAAGGGAGGCTTCAATTTAACCAAGTGGATCAGTAACAGCCGCTGTGTGCTGGCAGCAATACCAGAGGAGGAAAGGGCAAAGGAGGTCAAGGATCTAGATCTGGACCAGGATATCCTACCAGTGGAGAGAGCACTGGGAGTGCAATGGTGCGTGCAGTCTGACACCTTTGGATTCTGTGTAACCTTTCCAGATAGGCCATTGACACGTAGAGGAATCCTTTCAACTGTCAGTTCATTCTATGATCCTCTGGGAATCTTGTCTCCTGTGATTTTCACAGCTAAAACGATCCTTCAAGACCTGTGCCGCAAAGGGCTGGGATGGGATGACACTATACCAGCATCTGCTGCCCAGGAGTGGACAAGCTGGGTGAAAGAGCTACAAACGTTGAATGGCTTCAGCACCAGCAGGTGTTTGAAACCTCCCAACTTTGGAGAAATAACTGCCGCTCAGTTACATCATTTTGTGGATGCAAGTGAAGAGGGATATGGGACTGTCACCTACCTGCTGTTGCACAATCACCAAGGTCTGGCACACAGTGCCTTCATAATGGGAAAGTCCAGGGTGGCACCTTTAAAGCCTGTGAAAATCCCACGTATGGAACTGACAGCAGCTATGGTGGCGGCTCGTATGGATAAGCTGTGGAGAAGGGAGTTGAGGATGAAGCTACAAGACTCTGTTCTCTGGTCAGACAGTACCTCTGCTCTGAAATATATCAAAAATGAGACATCAAGGTTTCATGTCTTTGTAGCCAACAGAGTCACAGAGATTCTTAAGATGTCTAATCCATCTCAATGGAGGTATGTGCCCACAATGCACAATCCGGCAGATCTTGCCTCCAGAGGTGTGAGAGTGGAATCTTTTCTAAAGAATGAAATGTGGATGTGTGGTCCCCCATTTCTCCCGCAACCAAAGGAAGCTTGGCCTGTTGATCCAGATGACTTGGGAGAGCCACTGTCTGGAGACCCGGAAGTCAAGGTTTCTGCTATTGTTTCTGTGGAACAAGAGAAAGACAATGCTGTGACATGTTTGATAAACCGCAGCTCATCCTGGACACGTCTCTCAAGAGTGATGGCCTGGATACTAAGGCTTAAGGCTCTGCTATCGAATATCAGGAAAAGGAAGGAAGTTGATGCCCATTTTTCTCAGTCTGCATCAAATGCAAAGCAGCACAAGGATGTTGAGGTGTGTCGTGGTCCCCTCTCATTGGAAGAAATCAAAAACAGTGAACTAGAAATAATCAAGTTCTGTCAGAGACAAAAGTACGCAGAAGAGTTTTCTTGCCTCCAGAGGAGAGAGAGTGTGAAAGGAAACAGTCACATATACAGGCTCAATCCGATACTGGAGGATGGCGTTTTGAGAGTTGGAGGTCGGCTTAGTAAGGCGGCTATGCCTGAAGAGTCTAAACACCCAGCTATCATAGCTAAAGAGCTTCACATCTCAGACCTCATCATACGCCACATTCATCAAGAGGTCGGCCATGGTGGCAGGAACCATGTGCTGTCGAGGCTACATCAGCGCTATTGGATTCCTGCTGCTGGTGTTGCCATAAGAAGGATTTTATCCAAATGTGCTGTCTGTCGCAGGCTACATGGAGCCACTGGTCAACAGCAAATGGCAGACTTGCCTGTCGACAGGGTTTCACCAGATGAACCTCCCTTCAGTTACGTCGGGGTAGACTATTTTGGACCTTTTGACATCAAGCGTGGAAGGAGTCTTGTCAAAAGATATGGAGTCATCTTCACCTGTTTGGTAATGAAAGCAGTGCACATTGAAGTTGCTTCATCTTTAGAGACAGATTCTTTCATTAATGTCTTGCGACGCTTCATTGCAAGAAGAGGACAGGTTAAGGAGCTCCGCTCAGACAATGGCACTAATTTCATTGGTGCAGAGAGTGAGGTGAAACGAGCCATTGACGGATGGAACCTGGAACAGATCAATGACACACTCTCATTGAAAGGAGTCAAGTGGACCTTTAATCCTCCTACCGGATCACACTATGGCGGAGCATGGGAGAGGTTGATTCGTTCCATCAGAGGGGTTCTTAATGCCACTTTGAGACCACAAAGTTTGGATGAGGAGGGACTCCAGACAGTCCTCTGTGAGGTTGAGTCTATTCTCAATAGCAGACCCCTTACCAAGGAATCCATTGACCTAAATGACTTGGAAGTACTGACACCCAACCATCTTCTACTTCTCAAAACCAAGCCCTGTTTACCACCTGGTCTGTTTCACAAGGAGGACAGTTATGCATGTCGCAGATGGAAGCAGGTCCAATATATTTCTGATTTGTTTTGGAAAAGATGGACTAAGGAGTATTTGCCACAATTACAGGAACGCCAGAGGTGGACAAAGGTCAAGAGGAACTTCATTCCTGGGGACATCATGCTAATAGTGGACAATTCTGCTCCTCGGAATTCCTGGGTCATTGGAAGAGTCACTGAGGCCAGACCAGCACTCTCAGTAGACCTGTGACCAAGATCTGCCTTCTTCAGGAGTCGGCACAGCCTTGAAGGCTGTTTTGACTTGTTTGACTTAGACTTGACGTGAGTGGTGACTCACTTAGGACATGTGCTGGTAATCTCTGTCCTAGACATGACTTGACATGACATGGCTCAAGAAGATTGGATCAAGATCTACCATGAACTTTATACATACAATGGACTATGGACACCTTGCAAAAAAAACACACAAAAAAGGGATAAATGTAAAGGGCCCGATAAATTGTATAGTTTGCTTATGTAGGTTATGTATTTGTAATTATTACTGGGGCAACTGTAATAATTATGGGGCCGGAATGTAGGTGCCAGCTATTGTTATTGTAGTATTTTGTATTTTGTATTAAGTTTCTTTGCACGCCATATTTGGTCACGTACGAGGATGTGAGTCACGTGGTGTTGGTGGTACGTCAGCAGGGGTAGTAGTAGTAGTAAAATCAGCTGTTCTTCACCGGGCGGTTCTTATGAATGAACTGAGAGGGTGAGGGGGGAAGTCTCACTTTTGCTGACCGCTTTGATCGCTTTGATTGCTCAACACTAGCAAAAGGAATTGTTTTTAAACTTTGGGAAGTTGTTTCACTGTTTGTTTTATCAGCAATAAATATGTAAAATGCAACATCTTTGGAGCGAAGATTTGTTGACATGCCAGCGCGTCCGGCAGGTAAAGTTTTTCCCCTATTTAGCCTCTTGGCGACTATATTTTTGTTTTTTGGATAGTCGCTCTATACTGCTTTTGCATCATTACACGTTTTATTATTTAACGAGCATATAAATTAATGTCCACCCAAAACTTATTTAAAGGTAGGGTCTGGAGGATTTTCCAGTTGCTGTCTATAAACACACATTCAAATTTGGCCCCTCCTATCAGGCTCAACTCTCCCGGGTGTACAGAGCCCTGAGGTACGGAAGAAGGCTTCACAGAAGAGGTTCAGGCAAGGCTCGAGCTTGTGCACGCTCGGACACGCTTGGGCACGGCACCTGCGCTCTCTCATTGGCTGGGGAAATCTCCGCCCAGAAGCGGCCGAGCTCACAAAAACATTAAAATACAGTTAAAGGGCAGGAGCTCTGCAAACAGAGTCACCACCACACGAGTAGAAGCCCATAGGTGATGATTAAGTAGGATTTCATTTGTTTATGTCTATATTTTGTTTTGTTTGAAAATCCTCCAGATCCTACCTTTAAAAAAAGGTAGAATAAAGGGAGATGCAAATTACAAATGAAAGTGCAATGCATCAGTGTAATGTATTATCGCTATCATCTGGGCTGTAATCACAATGCACTTGGGGGGTAGAAGTACCCTGCAAGTCCAGGAAGTATTTAATTGTTTTCCCCCAAGTAATGTAGTTTTCAGCCATGTCTATGCTATCATAATGTGCAGAAAAATTTGGCACCAATCAACATTACTCTCCACCTCAAACACATTTAACTAGAACATATTAGCTCTATTTTAATGGCTCTTTTAATTTACTCTGGCCCTTATTTACATTAAAGTACATGGAAAAAAATCACAGTGTCAAGTAATTTATTTTCATTGTGAATTAGAAAATATTCAGCACCCTGCATCCAATCACAGGCCAGATTTGGCCTGCAGGTTGCAAGTTGAGCATCACTGACTTATAGACCTGTTATCAATTTATCAATGCAGCCTATGGTGTGATAGTGCTGAGGAAATGAGCTGGTATAATAATGTCTCCAGTTCCAAACACGGTGCATCTCATCATCCCATTGCTGACATGTGCTCTGTCAGAGGAAAACTCTGATTTAAGGAGCAGGAAACGCATGCGTGAAATGAATGGGAAATGGACAAACGTAGCGAGCAGTGACTCTGCTCAGTGATCTCCTTTTGTGTGGCAACGTGGCGGTTAACAACCAATAAGAACTGTGCCCTATGTTTTATTGGTCAGAATCCTCTGTACGCCGTCGGTCATTGGGTAGCTGAACAACAAGTTCCGCCTCCCTAACGTTGTTATTTAAAGGTACAGAGTGCCAACGCGGACTGCTCTACTGTTCAAAGATTGCAAGGGGTGGTGTCGCGAGAAGCTGGTAACCGACTGGTGAGTTAACTTTTTTCTTGCCTCGAAAAAGTTATATGAGAAGAACACTGACTAAGAGTAATTGTTAGGCTTTTGTAGCTCCGCTGTCATAAAGTGCACACAGCTCAGCTGATGGACCTGCAGCAGTATGAAGGAAACACTGTGAACGTGTGTTTAATGATGGAATTCATGCAAACTGCAGGACTGGAGGAAAAACAGACACTACATGCTCATGCTTATAAATGTACTTCTGATTACTCGTCATGAGGTGTTATCAGTTTGAAGGTTAATGAGAGACAGTGTCTGTGAATTTTAGTTCAGTTTTGAATTTTCTGATGATTCCCATCCTCATACAGTTCTGTTGGGGTTAATGGTGACCACAGAACGATGCCTGACTGTAAATCCAAAGATGTGTTCTTACTCCTATATTATTCTGCTTGTGTATAAATGTCTGATTAGAGCAGGGGTTTTGGTAGTTTAATATATGCTGATGACATGGCCTTAGTTGACCTTCTCCAAATAATGGCATGTATGGATTGTTGCAAAATTAGCACACTGGAGATTAATGTGGGTAAGACTAAAGAAATTCTTATTTGTTCCAGGCATTATTTCATAGTCTGCTGTATTTGAATGTATTGGAATTGTAGAAGGTAATACCTTTCCATTCTGACTGCTGTCTGTATCGATGAAGATACCAAACTTATTGAAAGAAATGCACAAGCCATTCATTTCCTCATTAGACTGAGCAGATATAGTGAGTCAGCCAATCTTAGACACTCAGAACTCCACCTACCATCCACTCACAAATTAATCTGAGTGACCTGTACACTGTTAGGAGGAGAGGTTCCAGCATTCCACCAAATTCTGGGCCATATGTATAAACAGTCTCTGTGGGCCCCCATAGAGACTCTCTCATGCACCTTTTGATTTTTTTTTTTTTTTACAAAGTCAGTTTGCCTTCTTTCCCATCCCTTTCTTTCTTTTCTTTTTTGGAGCTATTTTGGAGAAATACATGACAGTGGTCCTCCAGCAGCATAAGCAGTCACTTACTCAGGTTCCAGCTGTGTTTAGGGATGAATCCTAGTGCTATGGTGGACTAAACCATTTTTCGTCTTTAAGGGGTGAGAGGGGCCTCAGAGAGCTTCCATTTTTATGCCCCTGCGCTGGCAATAGCTGTGGCCAGAGGCATTATGTTTTCAGGTTGTACATCCATCCCATTACAAACGCAGTATCAAGAATGTTTAGAAGGAATTTCTTCAAACTTGGACTCAATAATGAACTCATTACTTTTTTGTGTTCAAAGGTCAAGGTCAGGGCGACCTATCTGTCTCATTCTCTTGAACGTGATAGCTCAGAACCGCTCTGAGGGAATTTTTTCAGATTTTGCACAAACATTTTTTTGGACTCAAGGATAAACTGATTAGATTTTGGTGGTCAAAGGTCAATGTCACTGTGACCTTGTCCATTGCATTCTCTTGACCATGATATCTCAAGAACACCTGGAAGGAATTTCTTGAAATTTGACACAAACATCGACTTGGACTTAAGAATACCCTAACTAAACACTAATCATGGGTATCCACCTTGAAACTGTACTGATTGTACAGATCTTCTATGCTGCCAAGGGGAAGATGTGTGTGAAGCATCCATATTTTTAAGAGAAACTTAGAGACTGGTTTGCAGAAACATGCAAACGTGGTAATTCTAGTTTTGTTTTTAATAAAAAAGTACAGTCTTTTTATTACTTTATTCAGCCAATTTTAATTTAGTTATGGCACTAATTACTTAGAAATAAAAAATGGCAAACAAAACTAAACCTTTCATGCCAGGCTTTGCGAAGGCAGTCCCACTTTTTCCCCATCATGATGTCCCGTGGCCAGGAGACACTTCTTGGCCTTACTTCCCTCAGTTTGATACTCTGACCTCTGGGAGGCGCTGTGGTCTTTTATTTCAAAAGCATTTCAATCAGAAAAAGAAAAACTGAGCTGCAAATCCACAGTATCTTATTTTATGTTAAATGTAGTATTGTAAAAGTATTAGTGAACTGTGTTTTATTCATTTACTGTCACCATATTTGCTGCTTGCATGCTTTTTTCAGCAAAAGATATTTTCACCTTGGTGGCCACTGTTCTTTCTTTGTTTCTTAATTTTTTTTTAATTTTAATTTTAATTTTTGTCTCCACCTCCACCAGTCAGTCATAATGCTGCTGAAGTCACTAGCATCCCTCTGCATCCTTGCTGTTGCTGCCTTTGCAGTCCCCGCTCAGGAGAAGCGCATCCATCACCAGGCTGATCTGAGTAACCACCCCCACGATGATGGTCACGGCTTCCAGTATGACCATGAGGCCTTCCTGGGCAAGGAAGAGGCCAAGACCTTTGACCAGCTGACTCCTGAGGAGAGCAAAGAAAGATTAGCGTACGTTTTTCTCTTTCTAAACTGTCTCCTGCTGCCACAAAATGTCTTAGCTGGGGTCAGAAAAACCCCAGCTTCTAACACTGATTGTTGTGTGTTTTTGTATGTTCTGTAGACATTGCTTTAAGGGTGTGTGTCCATCAGAATTGGGGTTCTAATCCTAAAGCATGGAGGGGGCAGATGATTGCAGTCAACCCTATCCATAACTCTCCAACTGTCCCTACAGGAAGATCGTAGACCGCATTGACACTGACAAGGATGGCTACATCAACCACGCAGAGCTGCACTATTGGATCAAACACCGGCAGAGGAGGTACATTGAGGAGAACGTGAACAAACATTGGAAGGACTACGACAAGAACCAAGATGGAAAGATAGGCTGGGAGGAGTACAAAAACACCACCTATGGCTACTATCTGGGTAATTCTCAATGTGGGAAAGATGTATTGCCATTCTAAGCTAACTCTTTCTTCTCCCTCCTTTCCTTCTTAACTCCTTCCTTTACGTCCTCCTTTTCTTTTCTATCTCTGTCTTTTTCATCTGGAAACTGATCTTAGTGCTGCTTAATGAAGCAGCTACACTCATTATAGAACAGACAACATGAACCCTTATAACTGGCAATCTCAAATGCAAAATATCCAAAGTAACTTCTTTTTCAAATTTTTCATTTAGTGCGCAGGTCAAAAATAGAACATTTAAAAAATGGTCTTGATCCCTTTTTATTATTTTGATATTTAATCTCTCTCATTTCTATGCCCCGGAAGTTATTCAGCCTAACGCGTAGTTAATTTACTGTCTGATACTGATAGTAGGCTGTTGTTTATTACGGCTGCCTTGGAGTCCCAAGGATTATGCGCTTGTTGCCGCAACGTAAAACATAACTTTGACTCTGTAACATCGCCATTGCTCTCGAAACTAAATGTTGCATAATGGCGGTATTAAGTCATTTTCAAGCTAATTCATGAACTGAAAAATTGAACAAATACGAGGAAGATGAAATGAGAATGATCAGTAGAGTGCAATTGTCCTAAATTTTGAGCATTTTAACTGTAGCATATTATTCTTATTGTCCTTACTCATGGTAAACTGCTTTTCAGTCTTGCTATTTCTGCCTATTTGCTGTGGTCTTGTTTGCTCTGTATTAAAAAGTCTTTAAGATTTAGATCATTAAGTAATTAAAAAAATGTAATGTAAAAAAAGTGGTCCAGATCACAAACCACTATACTTAGACTAGTCAAATCTGGACTAGATTAACATGGAGAATCCAGAGACTCATTAAAACACAGTTTCTGATTTGTGAAACCTTTATTCTATTTGTGAAAATGCAAAAAAGGGCGATTTGACATTAGACCAGGTCCAGATCACAAACCACTATATACAGACTAAAAATCTAGGACAATTGCACTCTACTGATCATTCTCATTTCATCTTCCCCATAATTGTTCAATTTTTCAGTTCATGAATTAGCTTGAAAATGACTGAATACCGGCATCTACAGGCATTATGCGACATTTAGCCTTCGAGAGCAATGGCGATGTTAGAGTCAAAATTATGTTTTACGTCGCGGCAACAAGCGCATAATCCTTGGGACTCCAAGGCAGCCGTAATAAACAACAGCCTACTATCAGTATAAGACAGTAAATTAAGTACAAGCTAGGCTGAATAACTTCCAGGGCACTGAAATGAGAGAGATTAAATATCAAAATTAAAAAAAGGGATTGAGACTTTTTTTTTTTTTTTAATGTTTTATTTTTGACCTGCGCACTAAATGAAATATTTCAAAAAGAAGACGAAATCTGTTTTTTGTTTGACATTGAACAACAAATAATGAAATAACAAATCGTTTTTCCATTTTGTTTTTTCATTCCTAATTGAAATACAAATGAACGAATGGTACACGGACCCTAGTAGCTCACCTGGTAGTACAGGCGCTCCGTTTACAAAAGTAAACTGCTGCGTGTTCGATTCCAACCCATGTGTCATCCCGGCCAAAAAAAAAAAAAAAAAGAATTTGGTGGTTGAACGTCAAGATCAGTGTGACCTCACAAAACATTTTTTGGCCATAACTCAAGAATACATACAGTAATTATAACAAAACTTCACACAAATGTCTAATAGGATAAAATGATGACAATTTCTATCCAAAAGGTCAAAGGTCACCTTCACTGCGACATCATGATGTTCTGCAAAAACCCTTTTCTGGCCATTATTCAACGTCGTATCTCAGGAACAGAATGAGAGACATTTGGTCAGATACTTAATTTGTGACACTAATTTTGATTGTATGGATCATCTGTGCTGCCTGGGGAAAGATGTGTGTGAGGTGTCCATGTTTTCAAAGATATGAATGTAAACTGTAAGTGCAACTTGACAGGTTCAAGGAGTCATACAACTGCAAAGCAGTATTTTTTTTTTTTAATTTTTTTTAGCTTCTAACAGCATCTCTTTATTACATTTCATGCTTGTCTCCATTAGCAAATTAAAAAGATTTAAATGAAAGTTAAATTATTTGGTCTCATATGCTTACTCTTAAGTCAAGAATAAACTCTCAGGCTCAGCTGAAAATAAATGGTCAATCAAAACAATGGCACTTCAAGTTCCATTTCAGTTATATTTCATGATCTTCAAACCAGATGGAGTTTGCTCAGTTGTCAGTGGATATTAAGAGACTTTAGAATTTCCATTTCTCTGAGCACTTTAATAATGACTTATACACAGGTGAAGACTGTTTGAGGAATAGACATGTATCTGTCTGGTCAGAAATATGTCAGGAAACACCGTCTATATGGAACACCGGTATTGCTAAAAGGGAAAGCTTTCTTTTCAGATGAGGAGTTTGATGATGTTGAAGACAAGGCCACCTATAAGTCTATGCTCACCCGGGACGAAAGGCGCTTCAAGATGGCTGACCGAGACGGTGACGGTATCGCCACACGTGAGGAGTTCACTGCCTTCCTTCACCCGGAGGAGTTTGATTACATGAGAGACGTAGTAGTGCAGGTAAGCCTACTCTCTAACCACCAGGAAATTTGATCATATGATGATGAATTATTTTACCATGGATGGCAATGCAAGTGGTGAGACACGTTTCATGCTTTAGAAGCAAAAATACATGTTTGCATCCATTATTCATACACTGTACAAAAATATAAACGCAACAGGGCTTGACGCTAACTTTTTTCCCAAGGAGCACATGTGCTCCTAAGTTGAAAAAGTAAGGAGCACACAAAGAACTTTAGGGGCACAATGTAAATTGATCAAATAATGTGTTTTCCGTAATAAACGTGATGCAAAGAGACATTTACAAGCAAAATTATGTAATGAATTTGTATACAAAATGTACAGAAAGGTAAAATCATCAAGTATGTTATTATCTTATATATATATATTATCTTTGCAATATGATTATCTTATATAATGTTATTACTATCCTAAAACATTCTCCAGGTCCTCTGAAACTCTGCAGGACTTAAGCCTCTTTCACACAGAGCTTTCGAAGAGCCCACCGCGGGGTAGGGCGCAGAGGACAGGATTTGGGGGAGTACAGGCTCGTTCAGGAGCTACAGCTCCATGGTGACCGCTTCTGGGTCTACTTCAGGCTCTTCTCTGCTATTGGACGCGCGGCGCCAAGGTGTCGTCACAGCGCGTTGTGGTGAAATTAAAAAAAATTCAATTCGAGCACAGGCTGGCGGCGCACAGACGGCTCGGCGGCAGAGCGGTGCGCTCTTGCGCTGCAGTAGCACATACACAATGAATGGGTTCGTCGGCGGAGGTCTGCGCTTTGCACACTCTGTGTGAAAAGGGCTTTATTTCCACCCTGCCCAGCAGCGGTACCGTGGCGAACGGTCCCTAAAGGCCTCTACACATGATCAGCTGTAAAACCGCTTTGCCCTGGCTGTCCCATTGTTTGTCTATGGAGAGGGCAGCAACGCCTGACAAAGCGGCACCGCTACCCTTGGCGTCACGCACCGCTCTGATTTTCCGCCCAAGCGCTGCACTCAGAGTTGAAATTATTTGAACTACGGGGAGAATGACACAGGCTTCCCCGGAGATCCGCCGCTTAACCCGGTCCATCTCCTCCACACTTTGACTTATTTCCACACTGCCGACAGTGGGACTTATATTCATTGTGCTGACAGTGGCTTGGAAAACCGCCCATAACCGTGTCACACGGGGAAGAGGGAAGGCGACTGGAGTTCCTCCAACATTTGCGGTTAGATTATCATATTTTTTTACTGACAAAAATATAGGCTGCTTCGGCTGATTTTTTTTATGCGCACATGTGCCCCTAAATATTTTTTACAGTTCGCACACACCTATTTTTAGTCGCAAATGCGAGTGAAACGCTCGCACTGTCGAGCCCTGCGCAACACTTTTGTTTTTGCTCCCATTTTTCATGAGCTGAACGCAAAGATCTAAAACATTTTCTATATACACAAAAAACCATTTCCCACAAATATTGTTCACAAATCTGTCTAAATCTGTGTTAGTGAGCACTTGAGCACTGATTAGACAACATGATTATTGCACAGGTGTGCCTTAGGCTGGCCACAATAAAAGGCCACTCTAAAATGTTCAGTTTTATCACACAGCACAATGCCACAGATGTCGCAAGTTTTGAGGGAGCGTGCAATTGGCATGCTGACTGCAGGAATGTTGACCAGAGCTGTTGCCCGTGAATTGAATGTTCATTTCTCTACCATAAGGCATCTCCAAAGGCGTTTCAGACAATATGGCAGTACATCCAACCAGCCTCACAACTGCAGACCACGTGTAACCACACCAGCCCAGGACCTCCACATCCAGCATGTTCACCTCCAAGATCGTCTGAGACCAGCCACCCGGACAGCTGCTGCAACAATCGGTTTGCATAACCAAAGAATTTCTGCACAAACTGTCAGAAACCATCTCAGGGAAGCTCATCTGCATGCTTGTCGTCCTCATCGGGGTCTCGACTTGACTGCAGTTCGTTGTCATAACCGACTTGAGTGGGCAAATGCTCACATTCGATGGCGTCTGGCATGTTGGAGAGGTGTTCTCTTCACGGATGAATCCCGGTTTTCACTGTTCAGGGCAGATGGCAGACAGCGTGTGTGGCGTCATGTGGGTGAGCAGTTTGCTGATGTCAACGTTGTGGATCGAGTGGCCCATGGTGGCGGTGGGGTTATGGTATGGGCAGGCGTATGTTATGGACAATGAACACAGGTGCATTTTATTGATGGCATTTTGAATGCACAGAGATACAGTGACGAGATCCTGAGGCCCATTTTTGTGCCATTCATCCACGACCATCACCTCATGTTGCAGCATGATAATGCACGGCCCCATGTTGCAAGGATCTGTACACAATTCCTGGAAGCTGAAAACATCCCAGTTCTTGCATGGCCAGCATACTCACCGGACATGTCACCCATTGAGCATGTTTGGGATGCTCTGGATTGGCGTATACGACAACGCGTTCCAGTTCCTGCCAATATCCAGCAGCTTCGTACAGCCATTGAAGAGGAGTGGACCAACATTCCACAGGACACAATCAACAACCTGATCAACTCTATGCGAAGGAGATGTGTTGCACTGCGTGAGGCAAATGGTGGTCACACCAGATACTGACTGGTTTTCTGACCCCCCCAGACCCCCCCAATAAAGCAAAACTGCACATTTAAGAGTGGCCTTTTATTGTGGCCAGCCTAAGGCACACCTGTGCAATATTCATGCTGTCTAATCAGCATCTTGATATGCCACAACTGTGAGGTGGGATGGCTTATCTCGACAAAGGAGAAGTGCTCACTAACACAGATTTAGACAGATTTGTGAACAATATTCAAGGGAAATGGTCTTTTCAATTTCAATCAGTTTTATTTATAAAGCCCAATATCACAAATCACAATTTGCCTCACAGGGCTTTACAGCATACAACATCCCTCTGTCCTTTGGACCCTCACAGCGGATAAAGAAAAACTCCCCAAAAAAAACCCTTTAACGGGGAAAAAAACGGTAAAAACCTCAGGAAGAGTATATAGAAAATGTTTTAGATCTTTGAGTTCAGCTCATGAAAAATGGGAGCAAAAACAAAAGTGTTGCATTTATATTTTTGTTCAGTGTATGTTTGTAAGGACTTCTACATCAATAATTTTATGCCTCTGCACTTGTGATGGCTGTGGCTGGGGGCATTATGTTTAAGAGTTGTCTATACATCTGTCTGTCCATACTTATGTCTGTACAGACGTCCATCCCATCCTTGTGAACACGATATCTCAAGAACGCCTCAGGGGAATTTCTTCAAATTTGGCACAAATTTCCACTTGGACTCAACAATGAACTGATTGGATTTCGGTGGTCAAAGGTCAAGGTCACTGTGACCTTTCACCTGTCTCATTCTTGTGAACTTGGTATCTCAACAACACCTTAAGGGAATTTCTTAAAATTTGGCACAAATGGACTTGGACTGGGGCAGCAATTCTATTTTTTTTCTACCTTGTGACCCCTGATGAGGCTATGTATCTCAGCTCTGCTTTTGGGTTAAAATCAAACCAGGCAGGCCATGTGATCACAGAGACCTTGACACATATATATACACATAACATTGTATTCATACTGATTTAAGATACACAACCTTTGTTTTCCATAATGCCTGCAGCCTGACAGCTACATCGATTTTACAACAGTGAAAGTGTATGATCAGGTTACCTTTTATGACCCCTGTCTCCTTGCACAGAGCTCTCAATGTTCAGAGACCTAAAGTAAAAAATGACTTGATCAATACATCAAGTAACAGGTCTGGACCACTGTGAGAACTAAATAATTTCCTCATTTAGGAAACTGTGGAGGACATTGATAAGAACGGCGATGGCAAGATCAACTTGGATGAATACATCGGTAGGTGACTCCAAATGGACCAGTGACCCCTCCATTCCTTACATGGAGGCCATCTGTCCTAAATGTGTGTGTCCTGCTGCTGCTCCACAGGCGACATGTTCACACCAGAGGATGGGGAGAGCGAGCCAGACTGGGTCCAGACAGAGAGGAAACATTTCTCTGAGTTCAGAGATACCAACAAGGTAAAAGCTACTCAGCTATACAAAAATAGTAATCAATCATTTGAGATTATTTTCCCAACACATGAGATGGTTTCAGTCACAGGTTAGAGTAACAGCTCGCACATGTGGAAACACCATAGCTTGAGGCCGTGTGGTGATTGGATTTCCAGTGTTGGCTGAGTGCCAACCTCTCTGGACATGGAGCTCTGTGGAGCTGAAAAGTACCTGAGACCAAGTCAAACTGTTGTTTTTCAGAAATACTTTAGAAAAATGAGTACACAATAACACATCTTACAGTAATGAGAGTAAATGGAATTTGTTCTTTTCACCCCTGCTGACCACTGGTGAACTGATGTTGATGTGAAATTGTTTTCTCACACTAAGGGCCTGTCCCAATACCCACACCTCCCCCTAGAAATACCCACTTACACTTGGTTGTGCATGTTCACGTTTAGGCTAGTGGTGTCCCAAAACAGAACTGAGGGAGTGGAAGTGGTTTCCAACGCTTAAAACCCGCCCTAGATTCCAAGGGAGCCCCGACCCACACTTTCAACGAAGTGGAAGATGAAATTTTCCAGAACACCTTAAAAAGTCAGCAACTTTGGCAAGTTTTGGAAAACAATTTGTTACTGTACGATCGGAATGTAGGCCATACAAACAACAGATGGTTGGACTAGAATAAACTCATCAGCAACTTGGTTGAACACAGCGTCAAAATATTTAAACAAATCGCCTTACCCAAATAAAATCAATCAGAACTAGAAGACTTCTTAGACGCCACCTGTTTTCAGCATTTCTTCTCCGTTGATTCAGCAGACGGAGAAGACTAAACATAGCACACGCCACAACACAAACGCTGGAGCCAGCATTTTCAAACCTGAATGACTACCGGTATCTTGCGTTGCTACTACGGCCATGCTGATTTGCATGAAGTGGTGTCTCATTTCTTAGGGAAAGATCTCTACCCTAATATTTCTCACTTCCCTCATCAAGGGTTATCTCGCAAGCGAGGGCACTCAATACCAAGTGGAAGATTTAGGTCCCATTTATAGGACAACGATTTCAACTGAAAACGGTAAACTTTAGTTGCGTTTTGGCCGATCGTTTACACAACAGCGGCGTTTTGGGTGCCTGAAAACGGAACGTTTTGAAAACGGTTCCAGAGTGCAATTTTTTTGAAACGGCAGCGTCTCCGTTGTCATGTAAACTTGCAATATGCAGTTCCTCTGAAAACAGAGACTTTTCGCACATGCGCATTATGGTTCCAGTCACTAGGCATGCGCGAGAAAGTCGACTGTCACAACAATACCGAGCTCTGTTTGTGCTGCTCACCCTGTTGATTTGAAGTGAAGTGTAGATCTGTTACTGTAGTAACTCCACCTCATCGTCCATCCAGACAAAGTTATCTTTGCATGCTTTCGCCATTGTGTCTCTTTGTTTTGGTTTGTAATCACCGTGTTGTAGAGGAAGGCACTTCAGCGCAGGCGCATGGCCTCATGCCGTGGTGTTGCTTTGCAAATTTACACTGCCACCCATTGGCCTGGCGTGCATACTACAGCGTTTGCAGTAGATTTTGCAGCTCCGTGTGAATGGGGATCGTTTCAATAACATTGTCATATAAACACAGGGCCTTAAGGGGTAGAAATGGGATTGGGCCTAAAACCAACTGAAACAGATGTGTAAGTATACTTCTGACAGAACTCAGGAAGAATCTTGGAATGAGAAAAAATTAAAGGAGAAAAAGTTAAAGATTATTTAAAATGATTTAAAACTAAGTTTAAGAATGAGTTTTCAGTCATTACAAGGTGGAGTAGGGAATGTAAAAACTGAATATTTTAGTGCTGACTTAAAAGTGGTCAGTCAGGGCTTGTCTAACCACAGAGTGACTTATACACAAGCATTAAGATTTTGAAATCAATTCTCTTGTTGACAGTTAGCCAAAGTAAGGATTTTAGAACAGAAGTAATGTGGTCATATGTCCTAACTTTTGTCAGGACCCTAGCACAGCATTCTGAAAAGTAGCACAGAGCATGTCTGTTTGTCTATTTGCAGCCTCCACAGGCCAACAGCAGAATTAACACAAAACTTGAATGAATGTTTAATATCTATTATTGAGCATAGTGTTAGTTCAGGAAGGACATGATATCAAACTCCGTTCACATTCCAGCTACATCAGCTGATCTCAACTGATGAATCAGTTTATTGATGGAAGGGAGTCAGCTCATAGATCACATTATTCTTTTCTATGCAACCAACTGGCAAATCTCATTTAGGGTGCCCCATTTAAACTGCTTTGGCCTGCCTACTGTTGGTGATTCCACTGCAAGCTGTTTTGCAACCCGCCTCCACCTCAGCTCCTCCTTTTCATGTTCTGTCTGACTTATCAGTGACATTGCTGTTTGTCATTGATGCTTACTCTGTTCTGTTGCCGGGGGGTCTTTGCTACTGCTTTCCCTGCCTTAGGCTTTCCTCATATGCGTGTGGAAGGGCAGAGAAGTGTGCTCTCTCTGTCTTAAGGCTTTCCACATAGGTGCATGGAAGGGTAGAGAGGTGTGCTCCCTCAGCCCTCACACACCGGCGGCGTCATTGACGTGAGTCAAGTGCCGCCCCCAACACACGCAAAAAGCGTCGCGCTGCGGGGCGTCAACCAGATTTCTATTGCACACTCCAGTCCGCTAGGCTGGGAAGTACAAAATAGCGCTTTTTCTAGGGCGGCGACGCTGGAAAAATAGGACAATAGCGTAAAGTGCCGCGGTGCGGCACGTCGACGCACTTCGAGCCGCCGCCGGTGGGGGTTTGTAAATAGAAAATAATGGGGGCAGCTGTTTTGGCGCGCGTCGTACAGCGCCGGTGTGTTTTGGCCTTTAGGCTCTCCATGTAGGTGCGTGGAAGGGTTGAGAGGTGTGCTCTCTCTGCCAAAGGGTTTTGGTGTAGGCTGGATGAAAGGCAGAGAGGCCCCAGAACAGAGCCATACCGCCAAATGTAATATTGGAAGTGGAAATAAAGTTGTTGTTTTTTTTTTTAACTAAAGTGTTCCTGACTAAAGTACAGTTTCAGTTGGTTCTTGCTTAGCTTCCCAGCTTCACCTTTCTTCAGAGTGGATTTAGATGAGTGTGTGCCATCATTGTGCCTGTTCTTCCTGTTAGCTCCTCAGTAAAGCAGCTGTGTGTTGTACAGGATGGCTTCTTGGATGCTGGTGAGGTGGCCCACTGGGTTTTGCCAGGAGAGGTTGACCATGCTGACAACGAAGCCAAACACTTGATCCATGAGACGGACACCAACAAGGTAGACCTACCACTGCTTTAACACTGCTATATATATGTGGCCTTTGACACAGAAACTTTCAGGCTTCAGGGTGATTTGCAGCTGAGTTTGAAAAGTGAAATATTGAAGTGTCAATAAATGCATCAAGAGACTTTTCAAAACAGTTTCCACTCATAACTGCAATACCATGCACTGTTGTAACTGTTGTAAGGTCAATGGTTTCACAGTGAAAGTCAGTCTCATTGTCAAGTGGTATTTAGTTCCAGGCATGTTGAATCTAAACTGACATGCAGCCTGGGCCTGACTGGAAATCCAAACTTAACTGCGGCTTTGAGAGCACTTATTTGCACTTGAGCTTATGTGATAAAACTATGATCTCATTTGCAAGGTAGGACTACTGATTCTCCAAACCTTGTGATTTTATTTTGTAGTGAAGTAACAAAAGATGCTTTAGGACAAAGAAATGGAAATGGTAATAAAAACTGGAGTAAAATACTTTTACACTGATACATACAAATGTTTCAGAGTAAAAATAAAAAATTTATTTAGGATGTAGTGGAGTAAAATTGAAAGTTGACAGAAATATAAAAACTCAAGTTAAATTCTGATACTCCCAAAAAATATGGATGTTTTGTAACAAAGTATTATTACTTTTACCACTGTGTAACGTGCCTTGTGTGTTAACAGCTGAGTGCCACTAACCAGGCTGCCATATTTGATGCCCTGGGAATGAGAACAGATTTAATAATAAAAGTAGGACAGGTACAACATGTTGAGGGGTTGGTCAGAAGACAGCCAGACTGACAGCCCATCACTTGTCTGTGCTGTCAGGAATATAAGTTAACATGATGCAATTAATTGGGTAATTGTGAGTTAATTATTAACATCATCTGTCTGTCCTATTTGTCATCACCAAATGTGTCCCCTCCTCTTTGTGTCTTTCATTCACAAACCAATGAACCAATGATGGATGGAATCAATCAACAGGATGAGAAAATAACCAAGAAAGAGATTCTGGCCAACTGGAACATGTTTGTGGGCAGCCAGGCGACCAATTACGGGGAAGACTTAACGAAAAGACATGATGAACTTTGATGAACCATCAGAAGCTCATGTGGGTTTACATTGCACAAGCATGTAGAATTTGGTTACCATGTTTTGTTTTGTTTTGTTTTTTGTGGGGGGGGACATAAGGGTATAATCATGTGCCCTCGTTCACACATGCATGCACATACACACAGACATACTTATCCATTCAAGTGCACCATGCACTCACATACTGTGTATGTGAATACCAATGGTACTGATGGTCCAACACACACACTCCTCTTTGTTTTATTTACATATCCATGTGATGTTTTTTTTAACTGAGATGCCTCATATCCTCACAGATGACATATTGGTGCTGTCCAGTGAAAACTGCGTATCTCCAAAATTACAACCGAACAGTGGATAATGTCCAAACTGCACTGGCAGCCAGCTGGGAGGAAGCTGTTTCTATGAGCCTTAAAGGTTCAAAAGTGGTCTCAACACATTTGCTCTTACATAATGAGGAGCAGCAACCATTGGAGATACAGAGTTTTTATCTGAGACAGACATATATGAACATTTGCTGTCACTGACTGAAAGGCTGTTACTGAATTGTTTGGGTTTTACTATTAAAGTCTTCTTTTTTCTACAAATGCAGTTTTTTTTTTGTTTTACACTAACCTCTCTTCAAACTTCACTTACATTTGTTATATAATTAAAATGATCATAAATATTATTAATTTAACATTACACCTCCCAATTTTACTGTTTTTTTTTTTTTTAATGGGCATATTTCCAACCCTGACTATTTCCAGCATACAATAAGACATTACATGTAGTTTGAGGTATTGGTGCTATCAATTTTCAGCAGAATCATATTATTATTATCTTACTTTATAATGATGAAAACTCGGTCTGTCTGTGGGTGTGTGTGTGTGGGTTTGGGTTTGTGTGTTCCACAATTTTCTCCTCACTGACTTGGTCAATCCATGTGAAATTTGGCACAGTGGTAGAGGGTAATGGGAGGATGCGAATGGAGCAGTATTACATCAATTGGCCAAAGGGGGGCGCTATAGCAACCGATTGAAATTGCAAACTTTGAATGGGCATATCTCATGCCCCATATGTCGTACAGACATGAAACTTTGCACAGAGATGCCTCTCCTCATGAGGAATAAATTTGCCTCAAGAACCCATAACTTCCGGTTATATAGATTTTCCACCATTTTGAATTTGTTGAACACTTAAAATCGATCTCTTCCTAGGAAGTTTGACCGATCTGCATGAAACTCGGTGAACATAATCTAGGGACCAATATCTAAAGTTCCCTCTTGGCAAAAGTTGGAAAACTTACTAAAACTGAGCTTCTATAAGGCAATAAATATTGCGGAAGGCGTGGCTTATCACATGGTGTATAACATCTCAAGGGTTTCACCGATCATCACACAACTTTGTAGGCATATGACCACACATAATCTGAGGGGACCCCTCCATTATTGACCCGATCAAACAAAATGGAGGCGCTAGAGAGCTAATTTCTTATCTAGGCCTAACCGCCATATCGATTTTTACTAAATGTGGTAGATATGTAGAACAGGACGCCTCAAGGTGACTGGAGAAATTTAACTCTAGTTGGCAACTGGGTGGCGCTATAACAACAGAAAAATACTTAAAAATGGCTAAAATGTGACCGATCGCTGCAGCTCCCCCTGTGGACCAATGTTTTGGTTTTTTTTTTCTCATTTTTGGTATGACTGAGTCATGGTATGGTATGTTGTACATAATCACGGAAACTGTCAGTGTGTCATTCTGTCAGTCAGTCAGTCATTCTACCAGTGCGCCCCACTTTTAAGTCAATACAACATAAACACTTTAACTAGTATAATAACTAAACAATAAGACACTACATGTAGTTTGAGGTGTTGGTCCTTTCAACATGCTACCTCAACTACTAATGTACAGTTTTAGCCCACTAACTATCTCACTATTGGCAATGGTACTACTGTACTTAAAATAAAGCAATCGTACTATAAAATTCACAAAAACTCTGTCTGAATACATTGCTCTTCTTAATGGGTTCAGTTGACTAATCTGCAATTTCCTATTACCTGTATCCCAAACACACACCATGTGAAACTGCACGTGGGCAACTGTGCACTCAGTGCACTCAACTAGTCCATATTAGTTATTATTATCAGTTGTCCTGGGGGGTATTCCAGAAAGCGGGTTATGTGAAAACTCAGATTAAGTTAACCCTGAGATGAGGGAAACTCTGAGTTATCCATTCCAGAAAGAGAGGTAACTGAAACTCCGAGTCAATCACCATGGTTACAGACTCTGTGAACATAACCTGCTCGCTGACAGGTTTTCTTCAATAAACCCTGAGTTTTTCTCTGTCTCCTCCCTCTTGCGCGCTGTTTCATTTCCTCATTCATTCAGTCCGTGAAAGCTTGTATCGAAGATCTAATTAGCTAATCTAATTAGCGTAGATTTACCGTCTGTCGCAGTCTAAATCCTGCTGGATATTAGTTTGTTACTCAGGACTGTCTTACGTTAGGCTACTGAATTTATGCACATCAATCATTTCTTTGGACATCGGTTTTTGTCTTTACATTCAAATATTAAACAGAGAGAATTCAACCTCAGCTCAGAATCAAACCTCTGTTCTTTTTATATTTATTATTTTTTATAACACTGTGCACAAGGATCAGACTATCAGTCTGTTAGAGCAGCTCCGAAATGTTTATTGCACATAATGTGTAGGTCTAATTATTTAAATTTTAAAAATCGGTATGAAGCTTTAGACACGTAGTATCAATGACTAATGATCTCTACCACTGATGTCATTGGTCGCACTGATGGAACATAATTCCTATAGCCTAATATTGGGGATTATATGTTAATATTTCTGAGTGAGCAATGGTGCAGCATTTCAGTGTCTTTAAATTTACTACATTTGTATCTGAAATAAAGTCACTGAATGCTGTTGAGTCAAGATACAAATAGATGTGCAACATTTTCAAATCTACTGTATTTTAACCTCAACGTCTTTTCAGGTGCAAATCACCAAACATATTATTACTGGGTCAGACTGTGAGTTTACAGTCATGTCTTTATGTCTTTGATCTATAGCCTAGCCTATATGTTTTAAATCTTCCTATTTTTCAGTTGCTGCCTCCTGTGTTTTTCCCCATCAGATCAAATCTGAACAAATATATTATTATATATTATTAATATAATGTAATGTATCTACAGCCTGACACACAGTCAGATTCCATCACTTTATCTTCATTAAGGAAATGTAAGTCTGATAAATGATGAATAAACGGACAACACTGAATAAAACTTTTTTATTAACTTTATGGTTTACACTTTTCTCGCTCTGACTCAGGCTCCTCGTTTAAAGATAAACGTGCACCGCCTGCTACACATGCATTAATATCTCTACATCCACTGGATTAAAATGGAGGCGCTGTCTTTTATTTACCTGTTGCCATGGTGAATCGTGGAGTCGGAGCTCAAATGATGATGGCTTTAAATTGTCGGATTAACTCAGAGTGAACATACTCAGAGATGACTGAACTAACTCAGATCAGCTGTTCTGGAACCGGATACTCAGAGTTTCCCCATCTCAGAGTAAGTCAACTCAGAGTTCAGGGATAGACTTAGAGTTTGTTGAACCTCCTACTTGGAATACCCCTCTGGGCCCTATTTCAGAAAGCAGGCTCAACAAACTCTGAGCCTAATCCCGATCTCCGCGTCGACTGAGCCTGAGCTGGGAAACTCTGAGTTTTCAGTTCCAGAATAGCTGATCAGAATCAGTTCAATCATCTCTGAGTATGCTCACCCTGAACGAGGCGTGTTCACGGCGAGCACCAAAAGACATCATCAATGGAGTGCAGATAACGTGATTCTCAGTGGCAGAAAGTGGCGTTAAAAGAGCCACTTGTTTCATCTCAACTGAATCGGAGTTTTTAATGACGCAAATGAAGACTGGTTTGGACCCAGTTTAACAGCGTGAGGTGTGATTGTGTGAGTACAGAGTGTGTTGATAGGTGATGTGTAGTGACATTATGTGATGTGATGCCTTAATGAGTCTAATATAGGCTACAGAAAATATATCAACATTTATTTAGGCCTATCTTAACAGTGTTCATATATTTTAATATAATCTGCTATATCCTGTTATTCAGCTGTAATCTGGTGGAGCCCAAACGCACTTGGCAGCAACTCAAAATAAAACACAAATATTATGCAAACAATTTTTTTTTGCTTATGTTTATGTCATTCTGTCAGTAGTAGGCTGAGGTTAACCGAATTGCTGAACTGCTGTGAAATGACTTCCTGTTCATGTATCTCCTTTATTCAGATGGAGCTATGGTGGGGATGAGTCCATATATGCAGCCAATTACACTGCAGAATCTTTGAATATATGAAAATTATTCATAAATCATTACATGATGTATCCGCGCAGATTAATTTGTTATTAACACTGACAAACCTGCAGTTCTTTGGAATTCCTCTTTGATGATCCTTTGATTTATGCCCACTGAAAACCACAAAAACTGGCAAAAGTCTTCTCAGAGCCAAAGACACTTTTCGTACAGCCCGACAAATCGCTGTCTCTGCTCCGATGATAATGTAAATCCACGATGTGTAACGTTAGGCTAATAGGCTATTTGATATATCTGGGTGGAACAGATTGTTCAGATAAATGATTAGTGTGATGTAAAATCCTATCTTTCATATAGACACTCCTCCGGGAACGATGAGACAACCAAACGGGGTCTAATCACCAACTCCTGATGCAACAGTCGCTGAAAGTCGTGGACCTCAATGTCCACGACTTTTGTGGTGGTATTCAATATATTGCATCATGCTCTTATTTTGACAGGTTGGTAACAGGAAGTAGTTCGAGCGGAAGCTCTGTATCTTGTGTTGTCCGATGTGCAGAAGCTTGGGCCCGATTCCAATCCGGCCCCTAAAGACTCGAGCCCTGAACCCTCAGGGTTCCCCTGAGAGTCTGAAAGGGCTCCGGATGCTATAAATAGGAATGGGACAGCACTTATCCCCCTCTCTACAAAATGCTGTTGACACTGGTGGCTCTGGGCATGATCATTTATCGGTTATTGTAAGCACAACGCTATGAACTGTGGGTAATTTCCTTACCGTAAGTCCGCATCGATGCTGACCTACGGTAAGGGGGCATAAAGGGCTCACTCACTGACTTGACGATTTGACAATGGGACATCCCTCACACACTCACGCACTTCACATGAACGCGCCTCTAAGTCTGTGAGTCTGTAAGGGATAAACAATGTGGGTCAGCATTAATGCAGCTCGACGTTACACTCAGTATCTGTTGCAGTAAATCCTTAACGCACAACACAACTTTATTCACAAAAGGACACGCCATGTTTCTCCTTCCTGCGACACGCTCAGCGGGCGATCAGCCTCAGGCTTAGATGAGGCAAACCTGGGAGCCAGTAGGTTTGCTTCACGGAGTATGTTGCTATAGTAACTGACCCAGGGTTTAATTTAATTTTTAATTCTATATACTTTATTAGTCCCCAAGGGAATATTCAATATTTCCATGGCCGAGCACCCCGAGCAATTGGGGATTCGATGCAAAGACAAGACATTTAATGTTCAAACTGATACTTTATCGTTTTTATAAACAAACACTCAATCTGAATTTGATGCGTGCGACATGTTTTTAAAAAGTTGGGACAGGGGCAACAAAAGACTGGGAAAGTTACCAATTAACCCGAGGAATGTTCCAAACGGGTGTTTTTGAACATTCCACAGGTAAACAGGTTAATTGGTAACAGCTGATAGTACCATGATTGGGTATAAAAGGGGTGTCCTCAAAAGGCTCAGCTGTTTACAAGCAAGGATGGCATGAAGTTCACCACTCGTGGAAAACTGTGTGGACAAATAGTCTGATTTCACCCTCTACAGTCCATAATATCATCAAAGATTCAGAGAATCTGGAGAAATCTCTTCATGTAAGGGGCAAGGCTGAAAACCAACATTGAATGGCCTTTGACCCCTCAGGTTGCACTGCATTAAAAACTGACATGACTGTATAAAATATATAACTACATGGGCCCAGGAGCGCAAATCCATTGTCAGTAAACAGCTCATCCCTGCATCTACTAATGCAAGTTAAGACTCTACCATGCAAAGTGAAAGCCTCAACAACATCCAGAAACAACGCCAACTATTCTAGGCCTGAGCTCATCTGAGATGGACTGACACAAAGTGGAAAAGTGTGCTGTGGTCTGACGAGTCCATATTACAAATTGTTTTTGGAAATCTTTGACGTCGTGTCCTCTGGGTTAAAGAGGAAAAGGACCATCCAGATGTTACCAGCTCAAAGTTCAAAGCCAGCACCTGTGATGATACGGGGGTGAGTTAGTTGTGCATCTGAGAAAGCACCATGAAGGCTGAAAGGTACATACATGTGCCATCCAGATACCAAGCCACATTCTGCGTGCTCTCACACACACACACACACACACACACACACACACACACACACACATACCGCAAAACAATTTTTATTTTCAAACTTTCTGGAACAAACAAGTAAGTTGGTCCTTGTGGACCTTGACATGAGGCTGTTTTGCCAACTGTTTTTGCAAAAAACAACTCAAATTTAAAGTCAACATGGACTTAAGGTCCTTAAAATTGTCCTGAGGGTTTTTTGGAACTGTATCTCCATTGTATTGGGGTTTTCATGGCTCCACCTGGCCCCCCACCACTGATGTAGAATAAAGGCCATGTGTATTTACTTGTATACTTTTATCCTACCTATCCTCTGCTCTTCTTATCAGGACAGCCGTCTCACACTTTCCGAGCTGCTTGACAAAATGGACTTCATCAAGATCAGCACCATCACAGACTATGGAGGCATGAGGGTGGACAAGCATGACGAACTGTGAATCATGTACCACAGCACAGGAGAAATAATGTTTTTCATTGTGTTTTGCAAATATATCATGCTTACAGTGAATGTGAAAATGTCTCCTCCTTACAGAGTAGTTAAGTACAAACTGACCAACAGCAGCAGCTTGGATTCAAAAAGACCACTGCAAACCTGCTGAGAGAACTTCTTACTTACATGTTTACAGATGCCCAAACTGGAATTTGTCTGACGCTGAGTCTGAGTGAAAGTTTAATGTCCGAAACTGCAATAACAAAAACAACAGCCAGCCATTGGTTACGTAATGTTTAAGGTTTATTGTAAATGACTTTAAAACTAATTAACAGCTGACATGAATACTTAACGTGTATCAAAATAATGTGATGCCATCGTGTCAATATCAAAGGTGTAGAACAATTAAAAATTCTCAATTATAACACACACACAATGACTCAAACCAATATGCAGTTTAGTGGGAGCCAGTGCCTGAGTGAAACATGAAGTCATCACTGGTATAGCCCTGACCCTCACATAATACCACAGCTAACATTTGAAGGCTTTTTAATCACTAGCTGCAAATCCTGTGGAGCTAATCTTGTGGCTCTGAATTTAACTTTTCACATATTTTGCAGCACAAAGCAAATAATAATGACCCATACATGAATCCATTTGATTCTACTCTCATGTAGAGCCTTATAATGAATGCACACTGTTTCAGCAATAACTGTTTGTCACTTGCAACCTGACAGAGGGGAGAGGTCGAGTATTGCGCCAATAATCAGCTCTACAAAATAAAGTATTTCTGTTTTATAAAGACGCAGTAAGAGAAGGCCAAATTGACTTTTCAAAGTATTTTTCGGGAGAGGGTTGTATTTCACATTGTTTGTATTTCATCATCTAGGGTGGAAAATGCCAGTTACTTTCAGGAACAAGAAAAATAGGCCAGCAAACAACAAAGACGCAGAAATAGGTAAAAGATGTCGATATGCTGGGAGAGGGAGTCTGTTACAAAAAATACATCACCCTTTTACACTTAGTAAGCTCTACTGAGAATGTCCATAGAATCATTGTAACAACACTGAGCAGTCTTTAATCCTCCATGTCACACTTGCATCACTGGACGAGCCTCTTTGGCACTGAGGTCAACCCCAGAGGCAGCGAAGCCGGTTCCACCCTGTCAGAACACATAACAGACCATCAACACAACTTTAACACCGTGTGTCAAGTTCACATCTGAGTACAGTTTGAAGGGATCTGGCAGACCAAAGACATAAACAGATCCTGCTTCTGCATTAGCATGCAATGTACAGCTTTCAAAGACAGTAAAAGGCATGGACCCCTAAACGCTTGCTACTCTAAGACCATATACACTCTAATGCATTTTAATTTTAATATGGCATCCTAATGTGTGTGTGTGTGTGTGTGTGTGTGTGTGTGTGTGTGTGTGTATATATATACATACATACATATATACATACATATACATACATACATANTTTGCTCCAGGGTGTTGCTTCTAATAAGGAATTGTTGTTGGTCCAGTAGTTTGGTTATTAATATTTATACAGGCTGGATAATTAGCAGAGAAAGGCCATAACAACTGGATTACAGGGGTCAGTGACAGTGAAATGTTCTTTAAATGTTAAAAGACTCATCACAGTAGACGGGATTAAGAGACACAGCTAATTATAGGTGGTCATAATCAGCTCTAGTCCCTGTAATGTTTAGCAAACATTAAATTATTTCAGCACTTGTTGAGAATGTAACCTGGCAGATACTGATTGTTTTAAGGCCATATTGTTTTGTTATTTGGGATTTTAAAAATAAATAAAAAGTTCTATAAGCCGATGGTGATTTTTTTCAGTGTTTTCTTTTTATTTATGACCAAGATTTTATGGAGCCAAACATTTTGCAGTGTATTGTTTATCAAACATTGATGTATTTAGTCTTATGTCACTGAAGAGTTGCTTGCAGTGAATTCACTCAGTCCCTCCTTGCTATGTTTTCTCTTTCTCTGGTTATCAGACCACAAACGAGACAAGAATTAGCACACTGGGGCGTCGGTGGCTTAGTGGTAGAGCAGGCGCCCCATGTACAAGGCTGTTGCCGCAGCGGCCCGGGTTCAACTCCAGCCTGTGGCCCTTTGCTGCATGTCACTCCCTCTCTCTCTCCCCTTTGTCCCTCTGTTTCGGCCCCCTGCCACTGTGGACTGTTTCACCAAGAGAGGAGCAGGCAGCAGCTTGCAAGCCAGATACTCAGATGGCGGCTGTAGCAGCTCAAATTCGGCTAGTGCAAACCCCAGGCAGCCTTGAGTCAAACGTGTAACAGCAGCAACAGAAAGTTTGCTGATCCGGTGGAGAGTCAGGGCTGTCAGGTTCCCTGAGACTGGGGTTTGTGCTGGCTGTATTGCTGTTGCTGCAGATGCTAAGTGGAGGTCCAACTCCAGAGCTGCTGCCTGGTCTCCTCCTGGCATGGTGGTCTGTAGCAGCAGGCTGCGCCACAGAGGACACACTAGCTGGGTCTCAATTCAGGGGCTGCAGCCTTTGAAGGCCTTGTCAGCCGAACCAGACAGTCCCAGAAATGAGATGTCTTGTCTGCGGAGGATTTTCTGGTTGTATCACCAGTTGTTCTTGCCCCAATCCGTTGGCATTCCTGTTATTTAGCAACTAGTTGCGCTTGACAAAATAGGGAGTGAACTAGTAAGTTAGTTAGCCCTAAATCACAGACCTAGAGATTGTTGAGAGATTGATGTTAACAACAATTAACCGTTAGCTAGTTAACAACTGTTACTTAACTTAACATAAAATCATCACCGGCACGCAATGGGCCACAAAGGATTTATCCACTGCATCATCCAAAATCTGGGAAAGAAGACAGGTATTCACAGCTGCATTTGAAGGAGCCTTGGTTGCACCAATGTGACGCAATCTGTCTTCAAATGCAGCCTACAAAAGGCTGCAGCCCCTGAATTGAGACACAGCTAAAGTGATTCGAGGCTGTAGCTAGCTAACTTTGTATATTAGTTTAGGAATTAGTCAACATTTTGGATAATCTATTGATCAGCTAACTATTAATCTACTTATCATTTCAACCATAGTATATAGAATATGTTGTTATGGCTCAGTGGATGAAGCAACCTGTCCACATTGCAGGTATAGGACATAGAGTTGATCCCCTTAAAAGTCAGCGTGTTGTCCTATCAGCAGTGATGTTCACTTGTAAATTGGTCTCATTACATGCATGAAATGCCTTGGTGTTTTAATATGTGATAAATTAACGAAATAAATCAGTTCATCATGCCCACACAGGCCGAGCCATGTGGCTGTGTTTGTTTGTTCACTTCATTTCACTGCATCCGTGCCACGACACTGTGTAATATCCTCCTAAGATGATGATGATGACTAAAAGCTTGAAATACTCACTCGGCGCGCGTAAACACATCGCAACTTTAAATAGTCACAGAGTCAATGACCTAGATACTGAGAGGGAAATGTGTTTGTGTGCACACATGGATTCAAACGCCTTCTTGCTTACAAGCACTTGTGTTCCTCAGCCAGTACGTGTGCATCTGTGAGTGCAGGCATTCATCTTCCCGTGTACTTATAACCGTGTATGCTTGTGAGCGTCTCTTCTTTTCCTCTTCCTATGTATCTGTGAGTTTACACGATGCATAATTTAGCAGAAGAATAACCCCCACGATGTTAGCAAAGAGAAGTCTCTCATGATCACAGGAGGAGTATTAGGAAACACTACCTCAGCCTCGAATAAACGGATAAATTTAACAATGACTCACTCGCATTCTCAGACACACACACACACACACACACACACACACACACAGATGAGGGGCCGTACAAGACATAATTCCATACAAGTAAGACTGACAGCTGATTTGCCCAAATATATCCATCATCAAGAAGTGCGGACGTTAGGGAGACATCATGGCTCATTTTAAGGAGCCTTTGCAGGTATGTCAAATTTTGGCTGAAAAAAGGACTGCCTCCTTCCTACGTCTCTGATCGAAGCGACCATGACAATATGCTATCAAGTGGGTAGCACTGGGCCTGAAAAAGATTCTATTAAAATTTGATAATCATAGATATTATAGTTTACCCTGGGAAGCACATACGGGCAGATGTGGTGACGTTACCAGTGTATATTCATGTAACTGATAACATTAGAGAATACATTAACCAAGACATTCTTGTATTTAGTGTAGATATCTAAATATACATTATAAAGCAGTGATCAGTTTCGCATGACGTGAAATTGCATTAAAAAATCATCAACGTACAGGTCACTGCCATGGAGCACTTGTATGTCCCTACCAATGTGAAAATCAAACCTACGCCCTTGCTCTGTACTCCCTGTTGTCCCCATCTGTGATGAGGCCGACTATGGCAGAGTCATCGGAGAACTTCTGCAGATGACAGGTGGGGGTGTCGTATGAAAAGTCTGCAGTGTAGAGGGTGAAGAGAAACGGTGGCAGCACCGTCCCCTGCGGGGCCCCCATACTGCAGACAACCAAGTCCGACACACAATCCTGGGTCCTGACATACTGCAGCCGGTCCATGAGGTAGTCCAGGATCCAGGATGTGAGGTGATTAGCCACCCCTATTTGCTCCAGTTTGTCCCTCAGAAGCGCAGGCTGTATGGTGTTGAAAGCGCTGGAAAAGTCAAAGAACATGATTCTTACAGAGCTTCCAGGCTTCTCCAGGTGATAAAGAGCTCTATGCAGGAGGAAGATGACGGCGTCGTCCACCCCAATGCCAGGCTGGTAGGCAAACTGCAGCGGGTCCATTGAAGGACCTACTGCGGGGCGGAGAAGAGACAGGACCAGAAGCTCCAGAGTCTTCATGAGGTGCGATGTTAATGCCACCGGTCTGAAGCTGCTGAAGTCCTTGGGGTGCGGAGTCTTGGGCACAGGTACCACGCAGGAAGTCTTTCACAGCTGTGGTACTCTCCCCAGCCTCAGGCTCAGGTTGAAAATGGTTTCAACTATCCCGCACAGTTGGTCTGTGCAAGACTTCAGGAGCCTGGAGCTGATGCCGTCTGGACCCGCAGCCTTCCTCGTCTTTATCCTTCTCAGCTGATCTCTCACTTGACAGGTAGTGAAGGACCAGCTGGAGCAGAGGGGCTGTGTGCTGGGGGGTGGAGGTGATGAAGTGGGGGGAGGAGTGGGGGGTGGTGAGACGTCAGGGGGAAAGGGGGTGGGGGAGGTGTTGAACCAGTGTGCCAGGAGTGTAGGTGGAGGGGAAGGTGAAGGTGAGGATGAGGGTTGCAGCCATAGGCCCGTTTCCACCGCAGGAACTTCGGGGTAATTTTACGGGGCTGGGGCCGTTGGTGCGTGTCTCCACCGCAGGAACCACCCCCTAAGGACAGAGTTCCGGAACTTTTACAGGGGCTAAACAAGTCCCTGCCTCGGGGTAGGTACTCAGAATGGCCCCGAAAGACTCCTGGCTGGGGCTTGGGGATTACTTGGTGCTGATTGGATATACTCAAGGAGGGATATGACGCGAACAGAAAGCTACAAAATAGCCGGCATTTTTAAAACTCAGCAGACGAGGGTTAGCTCGTTCATATAGCTTCCGCCGCCATGTAAAAAAAACTCACTAAATGGCCCGTGAAAAAAATATTTTTTCCAGCGGATATCTTAGTTACAACATGATTGAGCTAGCAAAGCAGTTTTGTGTTGCTATGTGTGGTATTTATTCAGTTATGGGAAATCACGATGTCTAGAAAGCATCAGTAGTGGCTGCAGCTGACAGGGACAGCTCACAACAGCATCTGTTAAAAGCCTCCCGTTGTCGGATACAACATGAAACTACTCCAATTCTTCACAGTGCACCTCTCCTTGGGCCGCACTGTGATGCGACACAGCACTAACAGCTGGTCCCGGGTGTAAACAATGGAGCCACGGCTGGGTGCCGGGTCCCCGCACATGATCATGTCCATAGAAAAATAGGAGAAAGACCGCTATAAAGAAAGCGGTCTTCGTCTCCATACCAAAACAAAACATACAGGGTATATGCAGGAATCCTGAGGTTAATTTCAATACTTTTTTAAGACTTTATTAAGACCTTCCAAAAAACTTTAAGACCTCATCGCCATTTCAAGCTGTCAAGCTGTTGTAGTTTGCAATTAAATCTATGGGGCACAAACAGAACTCAGATA